TCACTGCATTGTCTTTTGGTCCAGCTACATATTAGTGCTTGACTTCACTTTGCATTACCTGATGAGTTTCCTTGTTGCTGTTCACCATCTATCAAGTTTTTTTCCTTAATTTGTTGATTTCAGCACTGCTTAAACTCAATTTACTCAGTTAATACATGAAACTGTCTGTTTCCTTTTTGACCTGAAGACAACCTTTAGCCAAATGTTGCATTGCAAATATAGAATTCTTTAGGCATGGAATACGGTTTAATTTACAATATTTATTCCATTACTGCTTCTTACACAATAAAGTGCTATAAATTAACACTTGGCAGATTTTCTCATCTTTATTTAAATTATATTTATTATTTAAATAAAGATGCGAAAACCTGCCAAGTGTCTTAATTAATTTATAGCACTTTATTGTGTATGAAGCAGCAACAAAATTTTAAAGCACAGTTTCATATCATTAAAAGAAAATATTTATTCTATTCATTTGGTTTAATGATGGTGAATGCTGCCACAAATTGTAACTTCTATGTTTTGATGACCTTTTGTCAACATTTTTATTTTATTGAATAATACAAATTACATTTCATTGCCAAATAAACTGGTCTAAGCCAATTCTCTCCCTCTTGGATCTATAAGTGAGTAGCTATATCTTGATAGAAAATTTCAAATAAACAATCAGCTGTAATCAAATGCTCAATATCATTCACTTTCCTTAATTTACAATAATATTATTGTTCAATAAAAAGTTAATCTTGAACCAAGTTGTACATTGTTCACCTAAGTATTATTTTGCTCTAAAGAAGTTTAAAAGATATGACTGAAGACTTAAATTGTATTCTCTAAGTACTATTGATTTAAACTTTTTGTAAACTCTTAATTTATCATCCTTTATATGAATTAATGTGTTTATGGCCTTTTCTCTTAATAAATTTAATGGAATCTGTCTTTGTATCTTCCAGCACTCTTTGAAAAGCTTTCTCTAGTGAATCATAAAACAAATTCCATAATTCTGGTGTGTTTGGAATTGTAAAGTTAATGTCTAAATGCTTTTAATCAGAGTTTCAAGATTTACTTAGTTTCCAAGGCCATAGCATTGACTACTATGCTATAATTTCTACTTTCACTTCTTATTTTCAGGCATAATTCTAGCAAGTGCCAGTTTGTGCTTGCATTCGTATATGCTCTTTTGAATGATTTCTTTGTTTTTCTGTCTTCCACTATAGTACAGTAACTAAAATTTCTTTTACTAATTCAGTTCATTATATGCCTTGATATCAAAAATTAGCTCTATTAGTTTTACAAATTTCAAATCAGAAGATGATTTTCCCAGTTCTTCCTTCAGCAACTAGCCTTAAATCATCCTTTCTAACATTTTTAAACATTTTAATTTCTATTAAAAAATAAATTTCTCTCATTTGAGGAAATACAATTCCTTAAACAAATAAAGCAGTCTATTCTTGATATCTGTAGCTTCAAACCTTAGCTATTACAGATTTAACTGTAGAATCTTTAAATTTGATTGAGTTTTTATCTTGTAGACTCTGTCAATTTGCTGTAGAGGTTCATTTAATTGAATAAACAAATAACACACCTTTAAGCACTTCTCCAGCACAGTTTTTTCTTTTATTGGTTTAAATTCTTTACAGACCTAAAGAAGGCTTATAATGAAAGCCAAAAACATTTATTAAAAAACATTGTGCTGGAAAAGTGTTTAAACGTGTGTTACTTGTTTATAGAACTCAGTTCCTGCTTAGTTACTTTTACATTTAATTGAAATAATATGCACTTTAAGAAATCTTTTTAAGTCTAAGAACTACAAAAATATTGACAAAAGGAAAAAATCACACATATCTCTTTACAAGTCCAATCTTCTCATTCACATCCTTGAATTCTCTGTTCCAAACACATTCCAGTTCACAATTAAAACATTTTTTTGTTGAATTCTAGACTTTGAATCCCTTTCAAAATTTCTTATGCAGTGTTAGTGATGTTGGACACTACACATATCCTTCAATGTTATTAAAGTATTTTAGGAAATAACTACATTCAACAGTTTTAAAATTCAGTTTTTGGTGTTAATACATAAATAAAACATAATTTACATAACATTTATATTATATTACAAATATAATATAAATTATTACATTACAAATACATGAGATCAGGATGTGGGACCCACTCACTATCAGGATGTTATCAAATTTAAGCAGAGTCAGGGAAGATCAGCAAAATCTCTCTCTCATATGTCAGGGTCCTGACACCAGTTAAGATTTTATGCATGTTAACTCGCAATTATACTAAAAACAAATAAAAACATCAAGTGGGAAGGGTGAAAATTCAGCAATGGAGTGACCTGCATTAAAATAAATCAAGTTCGAGTCCAAATTAAAACAAATATAAAAAGGTTTAATAATTAATAATGAATTGGAGTTTAAGTACACAAGAAAAAAAATGTATATCTAAACTAAATCATTACCCCTGAATAATGGTTGAGAGAGAGTTTACAATTATCTGAGCATAATACCTCTATAATATGATTCTTGATTTGTTGACTTATTCATGGAGCTTTGGGAGGACTGGAAATCTTGGAGATGTGCTCAAGGCAAAAACTTAGGAGAATGGAGAGAGAATTTGAAGAGAACTTTTAGAAAACCCAATGAAAACCTGAAAAGCAGGATGTTTATCCCTGAATTTCCTCCAACTGGAAGTCAATACGTCACACCATGTAATGGGATCTGAGGGGTAAGTCGCATCACAAGATGTATTATAAACATGCGAGATAAGATTATTTTCCATGGTGAAATCAATTATCTTGACAAACAGAAGGAAGTTCTATTTTCCTCCTTTTTCAAATTCAAAAGTAAAAGAAATTTTAATGGCTTTTCTAACTACATGATTTCTCAACTCATTAAATAATTAAAGTAAATTCTAAATAAATCTCCCTAAAATGTGGGTAAAATAAGTCAGATGGTCTCCAGGTTCTCACAAATGTATTAAATAAATATATAAATTCTGAAAATCATATTGTAAAGATATAATAAATATATTACTATATAGATATTGAAATATATTTTGTTTAAGAAAGAACAAAAATGCTCTCATCTTTTCATTTCTATGAAACAGATTTTTAAATATTAATATAAATTTGAAAATATACATACATACATAGATTATAATATAAATATTTACACACAAAAAAACAAAACTAAATTTGAAAACTTAAAATGTAGTCTATTTGGCATACATTATAAAAGCCTTTAAACAAATATCTTAAACACACTTTTGTTTACATTTGCAAAATTTATGCATATAAAACTTATTATTTTTTAATGCAATTTTTATGTTTGTTTTCTACAGTTTAATAAACCTTTTGTTAATTAATAAATTTTGAATATCCTTAATTATTTTACTATATTAAGAAAAATAGAAGAAAAAACTATACAGTGGAACCTCGGTATACGACCTTAAACCGTTCCTGATGTTTGGACTTATACCAAATAGGACGTATACCAAACCAACCTTTCCCATAAGAAGTAATGTAAAAATGATTAATCCGTTCTCATGTAAAAAAAATGACTGGCTTTAAACACCTCGCTTTCCTGGCTAGTTCCTGCTTGACTTTTCATGAGATCAGCATGTATCTTTTTAGCTTTCTCGCAAATAATTGATTCTGATATGATATGCTGTCTCTAGCACACTTTTTTTCAGTTATCCAAAGCAAAAGCAATTTCTCAACATGATGTAATGTCTTCGATCTCTGTTTAGAAAATTGATTTAACCCCTTTCGCAACGTTAGCAGATTTAATAATGTCTTTATTTTTCACGATTGTCGATATCGTCGTTCTCAGAATACGGTATGCAACAGTTAAAATCTCGAACACGCATGCCACCTTCATATTTCTCAACAATCTCTTTTTTCAGTTCCATTGTGATTCTAGTCATTTTTTTTTAGTTTCCTGTTGCTTTTCATTTGCCTTTTTGCAATTCATGATTAATAAAAATAATAAAATTTTACTTACAAATTAAAATCAGAAAAAATTTAACAAAGTTATAAACTGTGGCACAGCGAATGTCTAGTCTGGTCTTCTTTTCCACCGCCCTGTGGGCACTAACAGGGCCTCTTTTTGCAAGCCCATTATGGTTTCGGCCAGGCCCACAATGGGGCTGCCGGGTGGTGAGAGACGGGGCCCGACACATCCGAACGGACCACCCGACGAAAAATTCCTGGGGTTTTTTCGACCCGTTCGGATTCGAGCCGTCCCCCAGAGCGGTGGGCTTCACCTTGACCGCTCGGCCATTCGGCCGCTTCTAGTCTGGTCTAGTACACCGATAGTGCTACTTGTTCATAGATGGTGCGTATAACTGAATTAAGTCGTATACCGAACGAAAGTCGTATACCGAGCAAAATTTGTTTCGTTGAAACAGGACGTATTCCGAATTTGATGTATTCTAAAGCAGACGTATACCAACGTTCCACTATATTTAAAAATTTTTCCTAAGCATAATGGGCTGGCAACAATTACATTGCTTTGTGCATTGAATTGCTTTAAATAGTATACATTTAAATAATATGACATTTTCATGGAATGTATTACACTTATTAATTGCATAATAATTGTATTTAATGTAGTAAATTATATTTCTAATATAACTTAATAGTTCAAAAATTATGCAAATAAATTTTATAAAAATAATGATATCCACTTGATTTTAAATAGATATTCTTTTGAAAAAATTTAATCTAATATACACTTTATTGGTTTTATTCAATTATCATTTTCTATATGTAGTACTCAGTATTCAATTTGAGAAAATATATTGCACCCTTTAATGACTGCTTATAATAGTCAAATGAATGGAGTTCTGAACATATTTGAAATTAACATAAAAAGTTCTTAAATATATGCCATAAATTCCTATATTCTTTATTAACTATATATATTTAATTTGTTTTAATTCNCTTATAATTATTCAAACATTAATGATGATGAGTATAAGGTTTAACTTACCTGAGTATAAATCATTCTCGCTGGTTTAATATAGAAAGAATCTTCGCACTCGACAATGCTTACATCTTCTATACGATCCATTATTTATGATTTTATTAAATATTCGTATTTTATTTTATTTATTATATAACATCGACCGAATTGGCCAGAAACGATAACAAACCTACAAATGTTTACAATACTACGTCATATAATCTCTAACCGGAATTTTATCGATTGAACGTCGGAAGATTTCGTTCCGGGATATGTGACGTCATCGATAAACGTCAAATCTTTGAACTTTTTATCGTCGATGGTAGTAATAATTTAAAAAAAAAATAGCCAAAAAATATACATTATTTTTTTTATAAATATGAAATTATATATTTAAAACAAAACAGAAAAAAACGTTTATTTTTATATTAATTTTATAATGAATTATAAGTTTAAATTGCGCTAAGTAAATTTTATATTAAAAAGTAATAGTAAATCATTTTTTTTCTTCCGAAATGTCCAGTTATATCCTGACAGTAAGTAGAATAGCTGAACGATAACCATTTCTCAAATGGAGGAAAGAAAAAGATGAAGAAGAAGAAGGAAAAAAAAAGGAAATTTGTCTTTCGAAATCCAGATTTGGTCTTTAGTTTTGTAAGAAAAAAGAAAAGAAAAAGGAAAGGATTTTCAATTGTTCATCGAATTGGCCTGCTATAATGGTCAGCTATTATTTCGGCTGATTGTCGAATGAAAACGATCAAGAGTTGAAATTTAGACTCCATGATTTATGCCTTGCTCCATACGCTTTCAAAGTTTTTCAATAAATTTAACTACGAAATCAAATAAGCAATTTTTCCTACATATTGAGAAAGAGTTTTCAAAATATGATATACCATACTTTGAGTATCTTTTCTAAGTATTAACATTAAGAAGAAATAAAAAAAACCCTAACTCTAATTAAAAATACATGTTTTTTTAAAGAAACAAACCTGTATTTTCTATTGTATTCTGATGATTGCTGAAGATCCTCGATATAACGGACTTTCGGACTTCTCTTTTCCGCAATTAGTCTGTTGAATCGAGGATATCTGTATTCTCATCAGATTGTAATGCTCTCTTTAGAGTTAAAACAAAACTATATTTTATTTAATAAGGTCTAAGTTGATTATATATATCCAACGTTATCTAAACTAAACTTTGTTTTGGTAATATTTATCAGGTTTTGACGGGCAAAAAGGGAAATTGCCCGGGGCCCCCACCAACGGTAGTCCCCAAATCAATCTTCTGTAAGAAAATATTTCCCAGAAAAAATTCCCCAGAAGAAAAATGCCTGAAGTTAATACTGTACACGAAGTAATTCGAATTTGTTTGAGTTCTTTGAAGCTATAACACGTCACTGGGTTTTGAATATTTAAAGTTTTGGAATAATGCTATTGCAATTACTTCGTGCAATTTAATTATTATACAATATTTAGTTCGATATATTTCCCTATCTGTAAAGATTCCTAAAGATCAATGCATTTGATAACAGTTAAAACTAGAATTTTTGGGGAAAAAATAAAGAAAAGCGTTTTTCTGTACTTCTAATTTTAATTTTGATCAAAATTGTGTAGATAATATTTTTTTAAAAGAAAAAGAATTTTAACAGAAAAAGTTTAAATTAAATATTTTTCTTGTTTAAATTCATTAATTCGCTAGTTTAGCAACTTTTTCTGTTTTAAAATGTTACAACAATTTGTGTAAAACCCTTTTACAGCGGTTTCTCCTTTCTTTTTTTGGTTTACTTATGAATTGCCTAGAAAAGATTAATAGTCAAACTAATAATATATATATAATTGACACTCGTCATTCTATTTTAGAGAATTAAAAATTAGCTTAAGTGCAAATTTAAAAAAAAATAAAATAAATTTGAAAATTATAGAATTTTGTGTTTATATCGACTTTTCTTTTGGCTGATGTAATTACTAAATGGAAAGTTTGGCTCCAAACTTCTTGCTTTGTCAGCTGTCTCCGAAATAGAGACAAATGAATCAATTAAAGTAAAATTTCATAAATATCTCGACTTCTGACAACTAACAAATGAAGCTTAATGAAAACCCCAAAGATTTATTAATTTTTTTTAGTAATTAAGACTGAGTATTAATTAATATAGCACATTTTCTCTTTTATTAAGAAAGTCTTCGTTTGAATTTAAGTACAGTATAGTTAGATCACCTTAGAAACTATTCAAAAAATAAATTAACATGCCCATTATCTATAGCCTATATTAAGTTTGTAAAAATGATTTAATAGAAATATTAAGTTATATATTAAATTATATGTTTATTTTTGTAGTTCTCTCTTACCATTTCAAATCGAAGAGCGTAAGTTAATCAAGTGCTACATACCCTTACTGTTTTCTTATTTCTATAACCTAATCATTTTAGATGCCTTACAAAATATAATATTTTGTATTTTGGATGTGCTTTCGCTGATTTTAATTTTCTGATAGGCCGAAAATGATAAAATAAGTGTAAGATAAAAGCTCTTCAATTTGAAATATGCTGGTAGATAAAATTAAGATATGGACAGTTGAAGTGGTAAGACGACTAATTGACAGGGTCAATATTTCGGGAGTCGATCACCTTATGACATCTCTGAGTCAGTATTTCAACACCAAACTCTAGATTCCGCAATTTTTGGGATAAATGGCGCAGAAACAAGAACCATAAGAGATCTTAGATTATTTTGAAGGTGACGATCCTGACAGTTTTATATGTTACATGCCATAGACAGTTCAATGTGGGTCTGGTCCTTAATTTTTCTTTTCCTTGTACTTTATTGGCTGTCACAGACATCTGGTGTATGAACAACGTCAAGGTTTTATGTTTCCTTCTTCAAGGAAATTATGTCACGTCGATTTTATGATAGTCATCACAGCACAGTAACGTAGAAGACATTCTTTCCTGCCAATAGAATAAAACGAAACCGTTTTCAACGGTTTTTGCTACCCGTCATCCGTATATGACAGCAATAGAATGAACTATCAATTTGAATAGCATCAACAAAATGAAATTTTTGTGCTAAAAAGTCAGTTATTTTTCATCTGAAAAAACTACTCGAATGTTAAAAGTTTATTGAATGAAACTTTATAATGTAGTTTTGCCTTTTATAATAAGTTGAGCTGACAATCTTGACAAGTTTCGCCGTATTTTATTTTTCGATTAATTTTGTTCTTAAAGTGATATATGGACAAAGAAAAAAATATATGTATTTGATGAATATCGAATTAAAAAATTTTCAAGTAAAATTAACTCAATATAATTATTCTTAATTGCTTTAAACTGTACTCACAAAGATGAGTAGATAAACAAACATTTTCATTATCCTTTCTTTCCCTTGAGCTAAATGATTAAATAATAAATTTCGTTATCACATGCATTGAATTTTTTACTTTTTAAAGGCAAATCTTTTATGAGTAATTTGCTGAAAAATTAATATAAAATTTTTAAAGAAACGAATTTATTTTCTAAGAATTTTTTACTCAACATTGCCTCTTCGCTCTTTTTTACAATACAGTTTTATTTGACAATTTAATGATAGTGCTATAGTGAAAAAGATTTGAATAAAAAATCGCCGTTTATTTTATTCAGTCGAGCGACAGATATCACTTATCTTACCAGAAATAAAAATAAACTTTTCAAGTGGTTAAAAAGTATATATACTAAAAAGTCGTGTAAAGTTACATTAACAACTTTGATTACATAAAATCCTATACTGTATTTGCAATAAAAAGTCTTCCAAGAAAAATACTTTCTATAGCCTTTAAACATATAAAAATAAAAGTAAAAATATTCTAGAATACATTGATTACTTTCTCTTCTACCAAAGTTATGTCATTTTTCTCTGGCACATAAACATTAAAGACGAAAGAAGTGGACTTTTTTAAACACATCTCGGTTCAACTTAAGACATTTAAAGGCGTGTTAACCCACAAAATGGCTCATAGCATGTTTTCACCATTCGCATTAGAATTTCTTCTAGGTTGCAGCTCTTAATACTACAGTAGCATTATCGATTGTATCTGCGCCTCTCTTTACAGAGAAAAGACGATGCTGCAGGATTGACGGCCCGTTATTCATCACAGTCCACCTGCTCTTTCACTATACTTTTCTTCTCTTTTCATGACCGAAGATATATATTCGGGTAATTATTACAATCGCCGTTCGAGACAAGGCTATCTCATGGGACAATACAAGTAGCTGGCTTAATTGAAAGTTCTATAGTAATGATTACCTGGGGATATACATTTTGTTGTCGACTTCTCTCCATTTGTTTACAGATGATGGTTATTTTCCTAAAATGCCATTTGTAATAATGTGGGTGGAAATTGCTCATATACTATAGCTTGCCCTTTTTTTTCTTTACTTTCCCTCTCATCCATCTGCGTTTGCAACAAACTTTTCTCGTTTTGACAAAAGTACATTTAAACCAATTTAAACAAATTTATTTTTTTCTATTTTTTTGTTTCTTGTTTTGGCAGGTGAGTTTAATTAGAAATTTTCTCATGATTTCAATGTTTGTTTTTTTTTGTTTAGCGGATTGTTTAGTTTTTCTTTTATTAGTATCTGGATCGATAATAAAAATTTAATATATATATAGCCTATATATATTTCTAATATTTTAATAATTTAAAATAAAATCGGAAATTTAAATTATAATCTTTTTAATATTATTAAACATTTCCGAAACAATGCTTCATTTAATTTATATAATAATAGAGTTATATAGAAAAAGCAAATATTCATTTAGATTATTGCTTGAGTTTCGAATAAATTATCTAGTGTTAATTAGTATAAAAGGCAATTACTTTTAACAGGATTCAGATATGAAAGTGGCCTATCTACGCTTCTTAGTACGGTAAATAAATTGATTTTTATTAGATTATTTATAGTTAAAGCTGTAAAGTAGGCGCTTATCTCATTCACAGTAGTAAAATTTTTTATAACCTCTCATTCGTTCGAGTTTATATTGCTTTAAACAGATACACGAGAAGAATGTTGAGATGATATCTCCACTTAAACTACGATTCTCTGAGAAATCACATTGTTTTAGATACGTTCCATTCAACACAATGTAAAACTATGATTTAAAATAATTCAACGCATGATCTAAACAGAGATTTACAGTTTAATAATTAGTATTCTAACATATTTCAAATGTTAACTCGCAATCTGCATAGATTTTGTTTTAGTAATCGATACTATAAATTAACATTTGCGTGTAAGCATTGTATCCATTTAACAAGGCATTTTTTTTATTAAAAAGTGAAATGATATTCCCAGAAAAATATGCTTTATTATACTATTAATGATATGTTTTTTTCTTTATAAATACGCTAGAGTTACAAAAATATACTCTATACGAACCCAACTCTTTTATTTTATAATAGTGTATCAAGCCGGAAACTTTTGACTGCCTTTAGTAGACAATTCATCAATCATTTTTCATACTTTACGAATGAAACTTCGACTCTTTTGTGTGAAACGATGCTAAACAGAAAAAGATCGATGGCCGCAAATCTAAGACCTCCCATAAGCAACCTTTAAGAGTAAAATCAGTCACGAATTCGTTAGATTTCCAATCGAATTTCTTGAAAGAGTGGAAATGTCGTGACTTCATTTACATTGACATTAACGAAGTAATACATAGTTATCAGAACAGCAAAAACTCAAATTTTTATATTCAAACATTGGTATTATATGAGATTTATTAGAAATTAAACTTCTACCATGTAGCTTGCTTGTTTTTATTTTTACAATTATATCTGTAAATTGTGGAATATAAATTTAATGTTAAGAATTAAGTAGAAAAGTTTAAATAACTTGTTTTAAAATTTGACTTAAAAATAATTCAAAATTAGATGATTCATTTATTTTTTTAATCGATCAATGATACTTTCGAAGCTTTAAAAACAGGAATTATGTAGGATATGAATGAGTAGGTATATGACGAAATAGTATAACTATCACCTTTTTGGGGATTTGCGATCCCAAAGCTCTCACGTACGGCCCATGCAATCGATTGTTTCTAGAAAAAATCCTAAACTAATATTGATAGATTGATTGCTGATAAGATTGACGAGAGAAAGTTTTTTTCTCATTAATTTTAGCAATAGTGTAAGTCTGCTTTTTGGAGGACATATATCGAAGTAACTTCTTAATATAAAGTGATCAAGTTATGTTTATTATTAACGCAGATTTATATTTATCAGAGGACATATGGTGTGTACCAAGATTATAAGTTATAAGTTAAGCACAAAGTTTATAGTTTTATATATCGTAAAATATATATCTTCGAGAACTCGGAAAAGTTTAAATGAATCTTCACTATTGTTAAAAATATAACTATTTTTACTTTACACACGGAGACTCTCTTTTATTTTATTTTTTAGCGCGTTTCTTTTTATTATACAAAACTTTAAATTTGTATATGCGTCATGCATTTTTTATCAATAACATATTTTTACATTGCGCCACCGCCAGAGTAACATTTTTAATCAAGTTTTATACATTGGGACGGAGAAGAGCCTCAAAATAATGGTCGACTCCGTAATGTGACTTGTGTTCTGTAGGTGTAAGAAAAGGACAAGATACGAAGACTCTTTTATTTTATTTTCTTAGAGTGTTTCTTCTATTATATAGAACTTTTAATTTACTTTACATAAATGTAAATTAACACATCATTTCATTTAAAAAAGGGAAAGAACTTTTTTCATAATGTTATTAAAGGTAACAAATTATTGCTAAAAACAAGGTAATGCCAAGTAAATGTATATTTTTTGTTAAATAACATATGACATAGATCTATCTAAGATATCATATATCATGTAATAGAATATATTTTTCCTTTTTAATCTCGTATTCTTTCTACATTTTAAGCATGTAGAAAGAGAAACACTAGAGAAGAATACAGAATTAAAAATACCATAAATTCGATATATATTTCCGTATATGTGATGTTATATATCGTATCAATTATAAAAAGAGATTATTTATATTTTATTTAAAGTTATAGTTTAGTTGCATTAGCATATTAATATAATTTTAGTAATGTTTTAGAATATGTAAGTCCTTTACATAAACTCACAATGAATGCTTCTGTTGATAACAACTGCAGTAAATTCTCCTCAAATCGGATTTATATAAACAAAAATTATCAAATAAAACAATTAACACAATAAATTAATGTCAACATGTGTAGCTTGCTTTTATACAAATTTTTATACTGTTAATTATGCTTTCTTAGATACTTGTACTTTCTATTTATGTGAAATTTTACTGATCAATTTTAATAAATAAGGAATGAAATCAAGCCGTTGTTTATACATTTCACAAAGTTAAAAAATATTTGCTGAAGTATGCATTACAATAGTATAAATTTTGAATTGATTTGACTTTTGATGCCACCACTAACGCTCAATGATAGGTTTTACTGTCAGTCATTAAGAGGACTTGAATTTCAGTTGAATCGGCCAGCTTTTCGAACAATTTAGGCTGTAAAATCTCATTTAAAAAAAATCGTGAGAATTTGGATCAGTTTCGCACCCGGATCCTTCCCAGTGGTATAATATCTAATTGAGCTATTCGATCGAACGTCTGCTCGGTATGATATTATCATATTACTGACGAACAAAACATGAAAATAAAAAAGGATGTCGTCTTTGGAGACTAATTAATAATATTTATATGAATCAATAAGTAGTTAATATTTATATAAATAAACTAGCCTGAAGGAAGAATGCTATTATCATTATACTCTTGAGATAGTTTAATTCTAAGTGGAAAATAATGATTAAATCGTTGTGTAGTTGATAATATTTATTATTTTTAAAAAGTTTACGCAATTATGAATTTATCTTCAATTAATCATTTTATTATATTTTCTTTAAGTAAATATTAAAATAGTAAATTTATATTTTAAAAATAAACTTAGATTCAATGTCTTTCTTTAGGAATAAAAGAAAAATAAATGCTTGCTTTTCAATTTTACGATAAACAGATTTATTCTTACGGAATGTGAAAAGAGTTGAATCTCTTAGAATGATTTAATTCTGGAAATTCGCAACATTAGGAAGTTCAAATCACATAAAGAATTTCACCCAATTAGTCGAATAGGGACTCGAAGAAAATGTGGTGAGATTTTTTCAATTGGACTGAAATTGGATTCACTGCACTGGGAACTTTTCTAATGCATCGTTTCGATGCCGGTCTGTATACAGACAAGATATCAAGTTGAAATTCGGTACTCTTTAATTACACGATTGGCTTCAATTAAGGAGAGTTTTGTTGCTTTGGATTGTCACAATAATTCTTGGCAATTTCGCAAACCATTTCACCAATCTGTGGAAAGAATTCAATAATGTCAACTTACACTTACTGCATGTGGAGAACCATCAGCATTTCTTTCAGGTGTAGCTTTTGTGCTTAAATACTAATTTTTCTTTATATTCTTCAAATGGTAACCTAACATTTATTTTCTTTAAATAATAAAAAAGACTTCTTTTTCTCCTTACAAAACTTGAATTTTTGCCAATGAAATTTTCTAATTATCGTTTTCACGCTCAGACGATTTTCACAATCGCTTTCACACAATCATCCATCAAAAGATTCACTTAAATTGCGTCATATATCTCATTAATCTTCAGTTTTTAGTCACGAAAAAGTTCCAATTCGTTCAAAATAATTAAAATAAAACATAAGGTTGGAAAATTTTAAAATTAATCATATTGTACTAATAAATCTCTTAGAATTTTAAATAGGATATTTTTAAAATCAATGCTAGTAAGGTCATCATCCAATTTGTTTATGAAACTGATATGTTAAAATGAACGTTATTTACAGGTTAAAAAATTCCATAGGTTATCTGACTAGTTTCTTAAAAGGATTAGAGTAATTACTAACAAATTCAGTAAGCAACAAGCGGTTTTTAAAGAGATGTTAATAGCTTATCCAATTAAATTTCCTATGGAATTTCCTGGGAGCACAATAATTTGAAGCGACAATTTAAAGTGATTCTCAAGGATAGAGTTGAGGAAGCACTCTGTTTAATCTTCTTATAGAGTGGAAAGAAAACTCCCAAGTTATACTAATTTTATTTACTTTTTTAATCGATCGACTATTCAAATATTTACTTAGAAAGAATATAAATTTATCTGTTAATTTATTTGCTATAGTAATTATCGTAGATATTTGATGAAAATAATTTTATTGTATTTTTTCCTAAACAAAAAATAAACTAAATTAAACAATTGTAATTATATATATCTAAAACTTCTACTTGTATATAAACTATTTTGAATGTTTGAAGATGTTGAATTATTGTAGTGGTCTCACTCGAACAATATGTTTAGTGAAAAAGCAAGAATATCGAAATAATATTCTATATTTTGAGATTTAAATGTCGTAAAAGAAATTCTTGCCAAAATTTAGATATAAAACGATTCTATTGTGCTTTAGAATTTCATTTCAGGTTTCTATTGTTCCCTAATGTTACATCAACAGTTCCATTCCATGATTACGTTATCTCTTACTGCTAAGATAGCTGTAGAATTCTTTTCTAGGATTCTATTGCTCTTTAATGATGCATCTAGTCTTGAATTGCTCCTAAATGTTCTGTATGGTACTCGATTTGTTCTTAATAATGATTCATTTTAGCTCTAGAATTCCATTGTTTTTTTAACGCTGATTTAATTGTTTAATATTGTATCAAGTAAATTTATTATATTGCATTTAATGTTATATCTAATACTTCATTACATTTTAATCACACGTAAGGATACAAAAGTTTGTTTTCATATTTAATTTAGAATCATCTTCATAAATATTCTCGATTAATCCAATAATATCGTAGTTTTGTTTATAGTAATATATTTTATAATTTAATAATCAATCTAAATTCTTATTTGTTTTGCAAAGAAAATTATGTAAATTCTTTTTCAATAAATAGAAAAATTAATTTAAAACTCTACATATTATTTATTTGCTAAAGAAAAGCAAACAAGAGATATTTTTATTCATTTCTTTTTCTTTTTTTTTTCATTGACTTACAGAAGGACGTTGCAAATTGAATCATTACAACTGAGTATTTCTTTTTCTTGTTCAAACGATCGATTCGAGGAAAAGGGGAAAAAAAGAAAAAAGAAAAAACCTTAAAGAATTTTAAAATGTGTACGAACTCAGATCGATGGCCTGTCTTCTGCCATGATCGATAACCAGGTAAGAAATGCTGTCGATTCATTTTCTTCCAGATTGCCAAGATATGATCAATTCTTTTATCTTAAAAATACGGTATTTATTCCCTACATTATGAAGAAATATTTAAATTATGATAAAATAAGAATTTTTACCGTGAAAAATAAATAAATAAACAAATAAATGTCGTCTATATATTAAAATAACACGATAGCATTAAAAGTAAATATTGAGTTAAGCTAGAAAAAATTTAATATATCAAAGAACTTTATATTAACGTTTTAAAATATTTATTAATTTTTCCTTGGGAAGGCAGAATATTATTCTTAGGAGATTATTTAATATTTTAGGTTGTAAAATATTATAAAAATATTTATTATTAAAAAAATACGAGATATTCCTAGAAGATAAGTAAGAGAATTTTTTTTTCAAATAATTCCTTGCAAATTTTTATTGTTAAAAAAATATTAATGTAATGAAATTTAAAATATTTTTATGATTGTTTTATAAACTATTTAATAGCTTTATAATATTCTATTAAAAGTTAAATATAAACATTTTTGTCATTTTTTAAAATTCTCAAAAAAAGCTATTTTTTAAAAATATATATGAAATAAAAGAAAAAATATTTTTAAATAGAGAGATATTTAAAAATCCGATACTATAAATGCAATTTTCGATGTTAATGACCGCTAAAAGTAATTTAATAATGATAATATAGTTGTTAGTGGATTTCGCTAACTCGGAAGAGGTCCAATTTGAATATAAATCCGGAGAGACGCTCAATTTAATATCGAACTCACTCTGAATATTACGTGAATCAAATTCAATAGAGTCCAATCCGAGCGAATTCCAGTAGGCTAGATGCAATCTCGACATAGTAGCAAAAGGAGAATTGTAACAGCTCTCCCATTGAAAATTATGAGATTTTTTTCCGAGAAAAACGCAAACTGACCTAAATCTAGACGGTATCATCGAAAGGAATTTTTTCTGTAAAGTCTCGTATAATGCCTTACGAACATACAAAAAGGGAGAACGGAGCCAAAGACCCGCTGCACTTGGAGATCCTCAGAAAGAATATCCGAAGAAAAATTTTCCTGAATGGAAGTCAGACGTGTAAGTAAGAATGATAAAGAAGACAATCGGTATGAGCAACGTTTCTATAGCAACGGGATATAAGTGAGTGGATTTGGCTTCCGAAAATGAATGCGTCCGGCACCACTGATGACCGTTGACTCCGAAACAAGCGAAGCGTCCAGTGACCGGTGATGCAGTTGCAGCGAGTCTATTTAACAGAATATTATGTTGGGCAACATCAGTCATAGATCAGAAAAGACGATCGATGACGAAATATGTCACACCATCTACCATCCGGGCTTACAACACAATCTCCTGCCGGCCACCATATGTATTGGATGACGTATCAAATGTATATCAAGCAGCCGTAGTTTGTGATATGTGGATCGACGGAGGGAGAAATAACAGATACTTTTACCGTTACCTTCACCGGATAGTATTTTATCTCGCTGTCAGGCTAACTGTAAGTAGTCTGGTCACGAAACTAAAGAATTTTCTGATCAAACTTTAATGGTTTGTTTGGATTCTTGAGCTTTCATTCAAATAAAGAAAACAATCTATCTTCCTTTGATATTTTTGGTCGAGAGTAATATTACTGTAACCCTATTCGGAACCACAGTAATGCCATAGATCCCGTTCTCATCTCCACTGTACGATGGAAAATATACTATTTTAAGGGTATCACACGGGCTCTACCGACATCTTCTATATTACGTGAGGCTTGAGATTGGCTCCGCTGGATGTAGATCCGTTATACCAACAGATATAAATTCTTAAAAGAATTAAAATCGTTACCTTAACTTGAAACGCAAAATATATTTAATTCGAAGCAATAAAACATTAATTTTAACGCTCAATGACATTATTTGCCTCAGTAGATTATTGAACGTCTTCATCTGTAAAAGTTGCATAAGTCATAATGCAGTGAGTGATGTTAATGGTCGGAGTGGTCATCAGTACGTAGGAAAAATATGATAAGTTTTCTTGTCTAAGTTTTTTCAGCCATTAACAAAATCCACATTATTCAGATAATGTATTCAAATGACTCGCTTGCTATATTAACATTACGAGTAATGGTTTTATTCGATTTTCATGTTGATGTATATACTCTCATTTATTGCTATTGTAGCACAGCAGAAATTATTTATTTACAGATTCCCATTTGTATATCTTAACTTGCCTTAACACTGAGTACTTAATCTGCATTATTAATTATGCCATGCCGTTTAGAGTACGACTGAAGAAAAAAAATCGAATCGAGTCACGTTCCTTCTAAGATCTTTCATCGGAAATGTTTACGCAGCAAGAGAGTATAAATGCATTATTTATTTTTATCGTTTCATTAATAAATACGATTTGTATTAATAAATACGTTATACTTAATATATACAATTATAGAAATTCCTCTCACTCTTTATAAATTTTAAACTTTTGTTGATTTAATCAAAGCGCATATTTTTTATTTTCTTTTTATTAAATAGAGAATTTGCTTTGAGGATATTCGATAAAATATTGAAGAAAAATAGACATTTTAGCTTTTTTATTTTTTTATTGAATTGCCCGACAAATACATTTTAGCAATTTTAATCCCATTTGATTTATATTTATTTTTCTTATTTTTTCAATTACATTATTATTGCTTTATTGCTGTTTTTCTAGCATTTTTCTTTACACGATTTTATCTTCCTTTTCTTTTGTATTTACTAAATTTTTAGTAACTAACACAAAATAAAACTTGTCAACGGCCGAATGAATCAAAACATATGTATTTTTAATAGCAAAAACAGCCATGTATGTAAACAACAAGGTATGTAAACTGAACAAGATTGACAAAACAATTTTAATAAATAATATAAAACGCATCGAATATTTTCTATTTTTAAAAAGCTTTGTCTATAATATATAAAAAAAGCGGCGTGTAGCATTTAAGTTTAGTTTTATAGTAATTTTAATCTTACTCTGACATTGACAAATGGCTGACAAGTCAAGCAGAGCAAACCACAGATAAGTCTCTTTTATTGTTAGTCATCATGAAAACAATATGTTACTCAAGAGACAAGAGCTGCACACTGAACTGTATGACATTCTTCAGAATTGTCATTGGCAAATTTGCGTTGACAGTGGCATTAATTGAAACTGGGTTATTTTAAAGTCATAATTATTTCTGATTAATGTATCTACTTATTAAATTCTTGACGACATGACCAATTTACTTAACATTATTAATTTTATACTCGTCTCATTTTGAAGTTTTCTGAACTATAATTCTATTATAATACAACAGAATATCTTCCTAGACATGTTTTCTTCTTTTTTCAACGTTCATCCTGTATACAAAGAAATGTGTTTTGTAGGATTAATGAATATTTATCGGATGGAAAGTTTGGAAATCGAATCTGTTGGACAGATAAATGCCAGTGCGTTTATCTGACCAGCATAATCTCAAGAATGGCAATATCTAAAAAACTATTAGGAAAAGTGCAGCTGTACTGAAAAACGATGATAAGAAGTCAGTGAAAAATCTATTGACAAAAGTAATGCCGCAGCCTCAGTCACCGCAGCTTGACTTATGTGGAGTAACAGGATTTTCCTTTATATCCTCTCGGATTGTCTAAGAATTGGAATCTTTACGCCATTGAAGGATTCGACTGTAACCTTTTCTTTTGCTTCTTTGTTTGAATGAAAGAATGCACCCCTAATGTGAGAAAATGCACTAACCTCGCTGCATAACATTCCACTTTTGAATGAAATTTTTAACCTTTCTCTCTCTCAAAAATCGATGAGAATTTCGTTAATTTAGACAAAAATCAACTTTTTTGGGTTGCAAACATACTTTTTTTTTTAATTTTCACGTTGTTGCTATTTTAAAATCAAAAAATAATAAGGCCACAAAATTTAGCGGAAAATATGAAAAACGAAAAAGAAAAAGAAAATACGGTTGAATGGATTTTTTCGATTTAAAGTTCATCAATCAAGATATTGAAGTAATATTTCAGTTTACATGTAGATGCTGAAAAAAGAAAAATATAATATTCATTTTTCGAAAGAACAAATCTATATAAAAACAGATCTTACGTTTACTTAGATGAATTTTAATTAATAATAGGCTATACAGTATATATTTCTAGATTTATAGCCAACGAGATACAGAAAATTAATTTATTACTAATATAATTTATTAAAAAAAATGTAATTATAATTTAATCTATTAATGTAATGTTATAAAATATTCATATAAATTATATTTCGACAATTTTTAAAATAAAACGGTTAAAATTTAATCAAATTTTGATACATGAACATCTATAAGAAATCTTTGTAATGTCTGATAAATGATCTACAGAATCACTTGATTCCCATTTTGGAATTATCTTCTTAAATAATGGAACTATAAAGATCACTTCCGATCACTCAAAGGCTTGTAAAAGCCAAGGCGTCGTTCTTTGGCTGTAATCTGTAATTGACGAAAACCAAAGATATATGGAGAGCAATTATCGTAATGGTGCTTTTAGTGGTCATCTTTTTGATGTTTCTCGCCATTGTTTAACGCCTCGAACTCGTTTAGCATAATGTTTTCCATTCAATCACATTAAAAAATTAAAGAATCTTTCCTTTGAGTAATTTGCAAGTGTGCCACGAAAGACTTTCATCATGAATAACGAAAATAGAATGTTATATATTAAATAAAAATGTCTGTACGTAGTAAGATCGGTATTTTTGTTGAGGAGCTTTGCTTACGAGAATTGTCACGTCTGTGAAACACATATTTAACAATGTAGATTAAGCCGTGTCTTCTCGCATGACGTGCATGATATAAATGTATGGTGTTTAAAGAATATGAATCACGGAAACGGAGTAGAAAGTAAATATCTCAGTTTGAAGATATAAATCTGCGTCTGAGAAAGTTTAAAATCACATCCCATAAGGAAGAATATCTAGTGATCATC